CTGTCTCAGAGATTTCCCAACAGAAGACAGAAACCTGAGAATTCTGCTGGGTTTCGTCAATTCGATGGCATTGTTAACAATTTTTGTGATAAGCCGCCAGAGAACGGGCCCAAAAGCCAGAAACCAAAACACACACCATCGAATACCAATGCAGTTGAGTCACTCCCCTCGGACCCCGCCCCCAGTACTCCCTCGGCTACCTCTTTTTTTTGACTCGTATCTGTCAGATACAAAACACGTCCGTACGCAAAGAACCGTTAGTTGTTTCTGAAAAGCGGAGCGGGCTTAGTATATTGTATTACATGCTTTTCTCGGGGAGCGAGAGCGCTCAGAGAAAGAGAAAGAGACAGGGCAGCAGCGAGCGGACGCCAAGCAACCGACAACAATAACAACGAACGGACAACAAAAGAAGCAGGAAAACAAACAACAACATGTAAAATATTGGGGAGTTGTTGGGGAGACCGACTTTTGTAAAATAACTGTAAATGTGTAGGCATTTCATTCATGCCCCGAGAGAGTGAGCGGGAGAGAGCGAAAGAGAGCGACGCACGCACAGCCAGTCTGTGTTTTTGGAGTTTTCTTTCCCACCTTTGGTTACGTATGCGTAATGGGAAGAAGAAAGCATTTGCACCTTCTTCGACTTTTGAGCTTTATCGCTCCTCTACACTGGACGAAATGGTAGACCTACGGATCAGGAGCTCAAGCTAGTTAATATTCCTATGTAGGTGATCCTCGTGATCTTATTGGTTTTTTTTATTTTATTTATAATATATCCCTAGTAATTGTGAAAAATATTCCTCAGTGTAATGTTCCAACTTTCTGGATAGCCAGCATTTTGTATTTATCGAATATGCAAAGCAGCTTTGAACATGAGCGGTAAAAGACGGTATACCGAGGTGGATGGGGGGGATTGGGGACCGGGAGGAGGAGGAGGAGGGGCAGTGCAGCGGTGCGTGTATGGATTGTATCTCGTATCTGGCGGTCGATGGATGTGACTCAACGGCAGGCGCTGCAAGTCGTTGAACGCCAGAGTTGTCGCCGTTGTTGTTTTTGTGGGTGCCGTGACTGCATTTGAAGTGCATTCAAAGGTTTATTGTCTGCCTCTTTATGGGTTTATTAACTTGGTTTGGTCTGGTTTGTGCTTTGGCATTTTGCGATTGTGGCAAGTTAAGTGATTGCGAGGGAGGCCTACCCGAAGTGGCTGAGGAGCAGGTCGTAAATATTGGAAATATCATACAACATTTTCAGAATTTAAGCAGATAGTAGCTCTACCTAGAAGTTGGTTCTCTACTGGATCAGTAACAGAGTTCTATAGTGAGATTGGGCTTTCACTCCCTATCGTGAAAGGGCTCTCCCGCTGAGAAGCTGCTTTGGGCCAATTTTACAGCAATTTAATTTAGTTTCCGTTCTACCGTTCCACCATCCCGGAGTTCATCAACCCGGTGATCTAAAATTGGTAGAATAATGCCAATTGTCTAAACAATTTTACGGGCGTTTGGGGTCTCATCATTGTTCAATTAGCCCGCTCTGTTTGGATGTAAATGTGTAGTATTCGTTAGTCACTTGCCGGCTCTAATGGGGTGACTAATTCAACCCACTACTCATGTAGAAGTATCTCCCTCTCTGTTTATCTCTGACGCTGACATTGGTGATGCTATAGCTTGACCAGCAGGTTAATGATACCGTTTATGCTTCGAGATATGGGGTATAATATTTTTATGTCCCCTTTGGAAGCCTTAGAAGAGTATCTTTACGGGGTTCTGCCGTATCTTTGCGACTTTATGGCCCCCACAGAGTCACTTAACCCCAGTTATCTACACCGAATGATTGATAATGCCCCACTTCCTTTCGACGTATGCGAAAATGTTATTTTAATTCACTTTCCCCCACTCCCCCCCACTCGCTTCCACAATTACAACGCGTCATCGGCTGTTCCACTCGGTAATGAGTAATGCGAGCGGAAGTCACTGAGGAAGGAACTAGCCGGAGGAACCTTTGAGGCAGCCACCTGACGCGAGTGGCGGGGGGAGCGGCAATCGAAGCAAGTGCAGCCAGCGATGCGGCTCGGTGAACGCACCAGCTCAAAATTGCAGTTGCAGTTTATTGGCCACAAACAAACGCTGGCGAAAAGATGGCTAAAAGCTGGCGTAGATGTTGCGCCAATTAGCCGTTGCTGCCAAGAAAGCGTGCAAACAGCTAACAGAATATTCGGATCCATCTTCATACATGGCTGGGCCCGCCTCTGCCAGGCCACAGGGAACTAATCTATCTCCAAAATGGCTCTATCCAGAAACCCAACGAGAGACCTTCAGGGTCCTTTCTGGGCCCAAGAACCGTCTCCCATTTTGGCCGTAACTTAATGCGCGTCTTGTATGTTTTCTTTGTGTACTCCGCAGTGGACTTGGTAGTATGGGTGCGTTTGGTAATACTTTTTCGGCCACCAACACAACCTCACTTTTGGCCCAAAGCTCTGGGGTTTCACTTTGTTTCAACTCGGCACTTTTAATCACTTCTGGCACTTTTTCCACTACTCCTAGTAGGTACTTGAAGACATTTTCATTTAGGAATGGGCCAAGATTTATTGGCTGTTTCAGAAGCGACGCTTTTGCGTTTAAGGCGCGGTCAGCAGCGATCGCACACAGACACCCGAGCACTTACACTCTCGAACCGACTGTACGTATACGTGACGACTGGGCAACAACAACGAGCACCGTTGAGATCAATGTGTTTCCGCCAGCGTTCTATTCACCGGGTTAGAGCGCACTCGTCCGCCGCCGATCACCTTCTGAGCCGACTGGCTCTTTTCTTGTTTGGAACCGAGTGGAGACCCACTGCCAGCTACGCCAGAGCCACTGCCAGAGCGCCGCTCAGCACACCGAGTAGCCGGGAGAGGCGATCATAATATTGAGGTAACCAAGCGGGCGCTATTCAGCGGGCCAGCCCCGAGCTTTCGGACGGTGAGCGACGCCAGTTACCATTCTGCCTCTCCAGTTACCTTGGCCGAAATGTTAAAAGTGGCAACCGCAGAGCTTCTCGCCCGACAGCAGCAGCGATGCAACAGTCGCTGGACCTGTTGCTGTTGGTATCACAAAGTTGGCTAACATTTTAAACCGCTTGCTGTTAGTGGTGGCTTTTAAAAACAGTCCAGACTCTTTTGACTTGACTAAGAGAGCGAACTAAAAACATTAATCCGGAATTATTCAGATTAATCCGGAAATTGAAAACAGTCGTATGCATAAATAATTCCACAATTCCCCCATACATTCCCCAATTTTCCAAGGGCTCTACCCAGAAGAATTGAAGAAAAATCTAAAAATATTTTTGCTTCTGGGTTTTGATGCAGATTGATGGAGAATCGATCTCCAAATCGTTTAAGGTATTCCCCTCAAGGATCGAGTGAAAATTGGCAAAGATATAGACTTCGCAGTGGGCCTATGAGTACTCCCCATACGTTCCCCAATTTTCCAAGGGCTCTACCCACAGAAAAATTGAAGAAAAATCTAAAAATATTTTTGCTTCTGGGTTTTGATGCAGATTGATGGAGAATCGATCTCCAAATCGTTTAAGGTATTCCCCTCAAGGATCGAGTGAAAATTGCCAAAGATATAGCTTTCGCAGAGGGCCCTATGACTACTCCCCATACATTCCCCAATTTTCCAAGGGCTCTACCCAGAAGAATTGATGAAAAATCTAAAAATATTTTTGCTTCAGGGTTTTGATGCAGATTTGTGGAGAATCGATCTACAAATCGTTTAAGGTATTCCCATCAAGGATCGGTTAAAAATTGGCAAAGATATAGACTTCGCAGTGGGCCCTATGAGTACTTCCCATACATTCCTCAATATTCTGGGTAGACCCCTAGAAAAATTGATGAAAAATCTAAAAATATTTTTGCTTCTGGGTTTTGATGCAGATTGATGGAGAATCGATCTACAAATCGTTTAAGGTATTCCCCTCAAGGATCGGTTGAAAATTGGTAAAGATATAGCTTTCGCAGTGGGCCCTATGAGTCTCCCCATGCATTCCGCAGTTTTTCAAGGGCTCTACCCAGAAAAATTGAAGAAAAATCTAAAAATATTTTTGCTCCAGGGTTTTGATGCAGATTGATGGAGAATCGATCTACAAATCGTTTAAGGTATTCCCCTCAAGGATCGGTTGAAAATTGGAAAAGATATAGACTTCGCAGTGGGCCTATGAGTACTCCCCATACATTCTCCAATTTTCCAAGGGCTCTACCCAGAAAAATTGAAGAAAAATCTAAAAATATTTTTGCTTCAGGGTTTTGATGTAGATTGATGGAGAATCGATCTACAAATCGTTTAAGGTATTCCCCTCAAGGATTGGTTGAAAATTGGCAAAGATATAGCTGTCGCAGTGGGCCCTATGAGTCTCCCCATGCATTCCGCAGTTTTTCAAGGGCTCTACCCAGAAAAATTGAAGAAAAATCTAAAAATATTTTTGCTTCGGGGTTTTGATGTAGATTGATGGAGAATCGATCTACAAATCGTTTAAGGTATTCCCCTCAAGGATCGGTTGAAAATTGGCAAAGATATAGCTTTCGCAGTGGGCCCTGTGAGTAATCCCCATACATTCCCCAATTTTCCGAGGGCTCTACCCAGAAAAATTGATGAAAAATCTAAAAATATTTTTGCTTCAGGGTTTTGATGCAGATTGATGGAGAATCGATCTACAAATCGTTTAAGGTACTCCCCTCAAGGATCGGTTGAAAATTGGCAACGATATAGATTTCGCAGTGGGCTAAAAGATTCCTCAGCATACATTCGCTTATTTTGAAAGGGCCCTCAGGTGGTCTTGGCCATGTACGAATTTTTTAATATCTGTGATACATATTTTAATGGATATATAGGGATTTTGGAATGAAAAAAGGTTTCTGTTGTTAAAGCCACCGTTGACAATCAGCGCGCGTAAATTGAATCCCACGGGATTTTGAATCCAATCGGCGGATGTGGGCGTTCTTACTGTTATGGCAGAAGGTCACACTATTTTCGGCTTCGACTGTTTACCATTTTCGGCTGCTCCTTTGAATTTGTTTATTAATCGAACATTAACTGGAAGCTGTTTAAACACCCATACTATTGGGAAAAATGTCGAACGCACAGCGTTCCTTCGTGCAGAAGGTTTCCAAGTAAGTGAGCCACCCGCCAAAGTCTCCTTTCGCAAACAAAGAAACGCCCTCCCTGACTTTCGTGTCTACATCAATTTTCCCATTAAGGCAGTCGGCGGCCGATGTACGGAAAAATGTTTCGAGCTGCCACAAGACAGGAACTAAGCCCCTGGACACCTCGCTGTGCTCCACGACGGTAAGAACTGTTCTCCTGGGTCGTCCAAGACTATAACCTATGTTCTGAGCAGGTTTCGCCCACGGAGCCTCTGGACTACGAGGAGTTCCTGGCCCAGCACGCCAACATCATCCACCGCGACCCTCTGAAGCACATATTGGACTTTCCCCAGGGAGATGTTACGGTCAAAATCATCCCCCGTAAGATCCGAACCGTGGACCACATTGTGCCCACCGAGAACTTGTGAGTATTTTTTCCAATTTACCAGAAAAGTAGTAACTGAATCCTTTCCAGAAGCGAATTGCCACAACACGTTCAGGAGTGTGTCAACTACTACACGCGTCCCTGGAAGGTAGTGGAGTATGCCCAGCGCCACCTCTCCAGCTCGTGCTTCATCCGCGAGCGCATCGACCGGGGCACCGTCAGCCCCTCCGCCTACCAGCAGGAGTTCGAGATTGACAAGGACTTTGCCTCCTTCGAGGAGACGTTCGCCTACAAGAGCGAGAGCTGCACTCCCAGTTCCCGCCAGTCGATCGCTAGCCTGGCCTCGGTTAGCTCCTGCACAGACACCCTGACGCCGCGCGGCTCCTGGGCCAGCTTTGACCTGCGCCGCTCAGTCAACGACCCCCTCATTCCAAACCTGCTGGACAATGTGCCGCCGGAGCAAGTCGACCAGACCAATGAGGCACGGAGGCAGCAGGACCGGCAAGTAGCTCTCTTCTCGCTGTACCCAGAGTCGGAGATCGAGGAGAGTATTGAAAGAAGGCTTCTGGCCGAGATTCCCATGGAGCACATGGGTCATCGCATCCAGGTGAAGTGCCTGCAGCTCAGACTGGAGCTCGAGGTGGAACCTATCTTTGCCTCCATGGCCATTTACGACGCAAAGGAGCGCCAGAAGTTGTCCGAGAACTTCTATTTCGACATGAACTCGGATAGTCTCAAGCGAATGCTCTCTAGTCATGTCCAGTGCTCCGACATCAGCACGCAGAGCCACTCGGCCATATTCGAGATCTCCTATCCGAGCAACGACCTCTTCCTGGTGATTCGCCTGGAGAAGGTGCTGCAGGGCGACATCAACAACTCGGTGGAGCCCTACCTGAAGGAGGACAAGGACAAGTACAGGGAAAAGGTCAAGTCCAATGCGGCCGACTACTGCGAGCGACTGGGAAAGTATCGAATGCCGTTTGCATGGACGGGAATCTACCTCACCAATGTCTTCAACGGCGAGAGCTTCGAGGGAAAGGAACCGGAACGCGACTCCTCGGCCGGCGGGTCTGGCGTCGGTGGGGGAAGTGGCATGTGCTCGGCCCCCAGCTCCAACAGCTTGGACCGAAAGTCCTCCACCAGCAGCTTCGACCAGCTCCGGCGCAAGGCCAACGACATGAGCGGGACGTTGACGCGACGCGGCTCCCTGGAGCGAAAGGAGAAGCGCCGCTCCTGGTCGCCTGATGACTTCGCCAACGTTGTGGAAAACTTTCGTCCCATAACCATAACCGTTCCAAGCTTCTTCAAGCAAGAGGCCGATAAGATGAAGGACGAGGACTTGTTCAAGATTCTGCCGGAGCTGAAGCGCCCCAGCTCGGTGGCCAAGAAGTACAAGTGCATTCCCGGCTCCATCAAGCTGGAAATATCTCCCTGCGTTGAGGACGCAAAGAACGCCCTGACTCCAGAGCTGGCGAAAATAAATCCCCAAAGCGGCGAGAACGTACGCCCAGTGAAGGAGATCTTGGAGTTTCCCCAATCCGCCATCTACAATCCACACTACACCTACCGCAACCTGCTCTTTGTGTCTCCCAAGGAGCTGAATTTCTCCTCCCGTGCCGGGTCCGCCCGCAACATCGCCGTTCGCGTCCAACTTATGGCCGGGGAGACGCCCAAGGATGCCGTGAACGCCATTTACGGCAAGTCCTCCTGTCCGAAATTCTCGACCGAGGCCTTCACGGCAGTCAACTACCACAACAAATGCCCTTCGTTCTACGACGAGATCAAGATCGCCCTGCCGGCGTCGATAAAGCAGCACCACCACCTCCTTTTCACAATCTACCATGTGTCCTGCCAGAAGAAACCCCAGGACCTGCAGCCCTCTGTGGAGACGCCGGTGGGCTACACGTGGCTGCCTCTCCTGGAGGACGGGAAGCTTAAGGTGGGAGAGTTTAACCTGCCCGTCATGGTCGAGGCGCCTCCTGAAAACTACTCCTTCATTCCGCCGAACGTCCACTTGCCGGGCATTAAGTGGCTGGACAACCACCGCGCTGTCTTCGCTATCAACGTGGAGGCGGTGACGGCCGTGCACACGCTGGATGCCTACTTGGATCGGTTCTTTCTGCTGTGTGAGTATCTGGACACCCGGAACATACCCTCCCACATAGGCGAAGGGAATATTGAGGCCGAGCTCAAGAAGTGTCTGCTGGAGATCGAGCACGCCAATCGGGAGCCGCTGGTGAGGCACCTGCCGCTGGTCCTGGACAAGCTAATTGAGCTGCTGGTGATGACCCACAAGGTGGGGGGACAGGCCATGTCCCTGGGGTCGACTGTTTTTGAGGTGCTGGGTCTGGTGTCGTCGCTGCTGTCGATCCTGAACGACGATCTCATGGTGGACCAGTACGGACGGCAGAGCCTGCTGTCCACCTACGTGCAATTCCAGTGCAAGATCCCGCACCCGTGCCACGGCAAACAGCGGCTGACTTCGAGTCGCAGCAACACCGAGGAGCTGCAGCTCAGCGAAACCTACAGCCTCTACGACAACGTGGCGAACGGAGGCCGCAGCTTGGAGAGAAAAGGTAAGGGTGCCTGAGAAGGTTACCACCGTCTAACTGTCATTCTCCGCAGATCTCTCCATGGACGTCATCCACGCGATCGTGGGACGCGACGCTCCGGTGCGGCTGCTGCACGAGGAACTGGCTCTGCACTGGGTGGTTGCCAGCGGAAAGGCGGCCGACTTGGCCATGTCGAACTCCTGGTTCCTCTTCGAGCTCATTGTCAAGTCCATGATCGAACACCTGCACAGCTCGAACACTCTGAATGGACCCCGGAAACACCGCTTTCCCCACCAGTTCAACGACGACCTGAGCACCCTGGTCCACTTGGTCACCACAAAGGTGGTCGGCTATCACAGCAACGAGCCCAAGTTGGCGCAGTCCCTGAACAGCAGCTTGGGCTTCTTCATATTCGACATACTGAGCGTCATGGACCGGGGATTTGTGTTCGGGCTGATCAAAACGTACACCAAGGTGCTCATTTCCAAGAACGCGTCCATCCCCGACCTGATGAACTACAAGATAGACTTCCTGAGGATCGTGTGCAGTCACGAGCACTTCGTAGCCCTGAACCTGCCCTTCGGAACCTCCTACACGTTCACAATGGTGTCGGCGCCCTGCAGCCCCACGCCCAGCACCACATCCAGCAACAGTCAGACCTCCTGTGTAAGTCCTTGTAATCCTACCAAAGATAGATCTTTTCCTGACTGATTCATGGTTCGTTTTTAGGGATCCCTCGAGCGAGCGCTCCACGCCGATCTAAGTCAGGAATTCCTGCAGCAACACTTCCTGGTCGGACTCGTCCTAAGCGACCTGGCTGCGGTGATGGAGGTTCCCAACCCACAGCTTCACGGCAAGGCGATTCGCTGCATCCGCAACCTGATGACATCGCACGACCTGGACCCCAGATACAGCGACGCAGAGGCCCGTTCAAGAGTGGCGGCTCTCTACATCCCACTGCTGTCTATCGTGATGGACAGCATTCCGCAGCTGCACCAACACGTTTTGGAGCAGGACCGACTCCAGCAGATCGGTCAGCTGGAGGACTACCAAGGCCCGCACCAATCGATTACCACAAGCACCATAAGCCCGGAAGTGGCCTTCGCCATATCCGGAAGTCGGCCCTACTCCTATCTGAACGACCAGGTGAAGAACAAGTCGCCCTTCAGCTCGGAGAACACCCGCCACTTGCTGGTGTGCTTCCTGTGGACGCTGAAGAACCTCGAGAGGAGTGTGCTGTACCGCTGGCTGCTGGGCCTGAGCCCGCACCGGGTGCACCAGATGCTCCAGGTCGTCAATGTTTGCCTGAAGACCTTCGAGTACACAGGCCAGAAGCATGTTCCCACGCTCAAGCGGACCAACACACAGAGTTTCAGAAAGAATGTGTCCGGCGACGTCAAGGAGAAGCTGGAGGAGTGCATACGGGGCACAAATTCTGCCCGATACGACTTGATAAACCGCCGCAAGGACCGAAACTCCACGGAGAAATTCCGCTGGCGGAAGGACCAGATGCCGTACAGGTCGCAGTACGCCGACTGTGGAGAAAAGTCCGGCCATGAGCTCGAGCTGAGCCACTTCATCGAGGGCTCGCTGGCCACAGAGGTGGCCCTGGTGCTCCTCGACACCCTGGAAATAATCGTTCATGTGGCGGCCAACCTCCACCACAACCTGCTGGGCACTGTGCTGAAGGTGCTGCTGCACGCCCTGTCCCGCAACCAGTCGACGCTGGCCTTGCAGAACCTATTCGCCTCCCAACGGGCATTGATTTTCAAATTTCCGAATCTCCTGTTCGACGATGAAACGGACATATGTGCGGATCTGTGCCTGATTCTGCTGAAGCACTGTGGGTCCCTTCTGCCGGGCATTCGCTCGCAGGCAGCGGCCTCCCTCTACCTGCTGATGAGGCAGAACTTTGAAATCGGAAACGTGAGTCTTGGAGTTCTTTCCAGATGCCCATTACATACTTATTCCCTTGATTCCCCTTAGAACTTCGCCCGAGTGAAGATGCAGGTGACCATGTCCCTGAGCTCCCTGGTTGGTACCAGCTCTGTGTTCAGTGAGCAGTCGCTGAGGCGAGCGCTGAAGACAGTCTTGGTGTACGCCGAGTCCGACACGGACCTTCAGGAAACATCCTTCCCCGAGCAAGTCCAGGACCTGCTGTTTAACCTGCACATGATTCTCTCCGACACTGTCAAGATGAAGGAGTACCAGGAGGATCCGGAAATGCTTCTGGATCTCATGAACCGCATCGCCAAGGGCTACCAGAACAATCCGGACCTGCGGCTGACCTGGCTGGAGAACATGGCCAAGAAGCACCGGGAACGTGCCAACCACACTGAGGCGGCCATGTGCTATGTCCATGCCGCCGCCTTGGTTTCCGAGTATCTTAGTATGCTGGAGTCGCAGACCCACCTGCCAGTCGGAGCTGTAAGCTTCCAGCGCATCTCGCCGAACACCCTGATGGAGTCGGCCGTGTCGGACGACGTGCTGAGTCCTGGCGAGGACGGTATCTGCCTCGGAAACCACTTCACCGAGACCGGCCTGAAGGCTCTGCTCGAAGAGGCTTCGAACTCATTCCAGGTGGCTGGCATGTACGAGGCCATGAACGAGGTCTACAAGATACTGATCCCCATCTGCGAGGCCAACCGGGACTTCCAAAAGCTGAGCAAGGTGCACGGAAAACTTCAGGAGGCCTTCAACCGCATCGCCCAGTTGCAAGTGAGTGTGGGGAGGGTGGCAGGTTTCAATATCTACTTACATGTTTCCCCCAAAAGGGCAAGCGAGTGTTCGGAACCTACTTCCGGGTCGGCTTCTATGGAACGAAGTTCGGGGACCTGGACCAGCAGGAGTTCATCTACAAAGAGCCAACTCTAACCAAACTCCCAGAGATATTCAGCCGACTTCAGGTAATATTGTTTAGTTCATCAAGAACCCCCAGTCGCGGTGGACTAAAAGGTGTCTTCTTTGGATTTCAAGAACTTCTACACCGAACGCTTCGGGCCCGACTCTGTGCATATCATAAAGGACTCCAACACCGTCGACGTGAGCTCCCTGGATCCGGATAAGGCCTACATTCAAATCACATACGTGGAGCCCTACTTTGAAACCTACGAAATGCGGCATCGGGAAACCTACTTTGAGCGGAACTTCAACATAAGTAAGTTTTCTAATTCTAGTGGCGCATTGACCCTGACCCTGACCCTGGTGTTTCGAATCGTTTAGAGCGCTTCATCTATGCCACACCCTTCACGAAGACTGGCAAGGCACATGGCGAGCTCCACGAGCAGTGCAAACGGAAAACCATACTGACCACGGCCAACCACTTCCCGTATGTGAAGACCAGGATTATGGTGATCAGCCGACAGCAAATAGTCCTGGAGCCTATTGAGGTTGCCATTGAGGTGCGTAGCCCGCTTTTCTGGCGAGTATCTGTTCTCAACTTCCCTTTAAACGCAGGACATTCAAAAGAAGACCGTGGAGCTGGCTGCTGCGACTAACCAAGAGCCTGCAGACCCGAAAATCCTGCAAATGGTCCTGCAGGGATGCATCGGCACCACCGTCAACCAGGGGCCCATGGAGGTGGCCAGCGTGTTCCTCTCGAACCTGTCCGACGGCACCACAGTTCCGACAAAGCATCAAAACAAACTGCGCCTGTGCTTCCGCGAGTTCTCCAAACGCTGCGCCGACGCCCTCAAGAAGAACCGAAACCTAATACTGTCGGACCAGAAGGACTACCAGCGGGAACTAGAGCGCAACAATGATCGCTTCATCGAGCGCCTTACTCCATTTATCACCCTGACACGGGTTCAAAATCATGGCGTAGTAAAGTGAGTCCTCTGGATAGTCCAATAGAAGTCCAATACTCATATTTAATTATTTTAGAGCCAATGCCAACAACAACAAGAGCACTCCCTTAAAATGGTAAATGTTTGCCCGGCAGCGTCCTAAATAATTACTAAAAAAAACTCCTTGAAATTACATGTCTAGCGTATCGGATTATTTTAAGTAAGTGCGTATTATCATTCACATTCTGGCCTTTGAGATGGCCAACCAATAAGCCCATATACACATAACCTTTTGACTGATCCATTTTCCTTCTCGCGGAAAGGTCTCACTCCTTTCACTCCGTGGTCCAACACCAAATATATTTACCAAATAACAATGGTCGTCGACCGAGAATCGAATACAATTTACTTTTCTACATTTTATTACTAAAATATAATTATATAAACCAAAGACCAGTTTTATTTTATAGGGAAGATATTAAACCAAATTAGAAATCATAATTTGAAGTTGAATTTGTGAGTTTTTATTGCGTTTAATAAGTCAAAACTCAAAAAAGCTGTTTTGAAACATCGGAAGAAGAAGATAAGGGTTAAGAATTCAAATTCCAGCGCTCTAAAGCGGGTTGCACAACACTGGCGCGTCCTTGTCGATAAGCGTTATCGTCGAAAATATTTATCTGTATCGATAAATTTGGTATGTACGACCAAAAATACCAGATTTTCAGAAATGATACTAACGAAAGGCCATCTCTAGTTTTATGCATAGCCACGCATGCCCGCTATATCTTAAGTTCGTGTTGTGTTCGTGTTTAATTAAGCTAACTGAAATCGGGATACCAATGTGATAAGAACGCGCGTCCTAAGCGAGGTGAAAAATGTACATGGGCGTGTGAGCAGAGCCGAAACCGAACGCAGAAAGCAGCAAACAATTCCACCGAGCCACCGCCTAACTGCGCAACGGCGAGTAAATTAGTGTAAGTGCCCGAGTGAACAAAAAGAACATTATTATTTGTAGGCGCCATTTTCGGACAAACAGAAACGCCAACCATACGTAGTTATTTTTGCAATATGCGTGATGCGTGTGCCGGGGTGACTCAGCCACGCACACCGCCCACGCCATTCGCTTTCGTCATTTTTCGGTGTCTCTTGTCCCTTGTTTTCTATGCTAATTCCGTTTATTGGCGTTTGTGTACTGTACGCCTAGTGCTTGTGTGTGTGTGTGTGCTCGTATTTGTAGGTGAATGAATGAAAGAGTAGATGACAAATTTTGCATCAAACCCTTCAGTACCATACCTCAAGGATTCCTTAAGGAATCGTCTAGGTACTAGTATTGCCACCCGAGGAATCCTCTAGGTATGTTTCATAAAAACCATCAAGGAATTTCCATAGAAGAGTTCCTCACATCGAGGAATTCGAACAACTCAAGGAATACTGCAGGATTCCTGTAGGTATTCGAAGAGGATTTCGAACAAAATACCCCAGGGAATCCCTGAGGTATACTCTGAGGAATCGTTGAGGAAATACCCCAGGGAATCCCTGAGGTATACTCTGAGGAATCGTTGAGGAAATACCCCAAGGAATCCCTGAGGTATACTCTGAGGAATCGTTGAGGAAATACCCCAAGGAATCCCTGAGGTATACTCTGAGGAATCTTACGGGAATTCAGGTGGGATTCATACGGGATTCACTGAGGAACTGTAAGGATTTTCACCCCCCCCCCCTTTCCATCCAACCTTTTCAACCAAAATTATTATTTTATTTGAAATTTTATTAATACAAGAAATTATGAATTGTTATAATCTATATTGTTATTATTATAATACATTGTTATAATCTATTATTATTTATTATTTATTCTAAAGATTTATACTACTTATTTTAATTTTTTTTATTATTATTATTTTTGATGGCCGTCAAAGCGTGCCCCAACAATTTCTCCGGCGGTTTCCCCGGATCCACCATAGATATACTATCTGTAAATAAAATAAATAGAAATTAGATATCTCTTACATTATTTGTAATTAAAATACATACCAATCAAAATTCCATAAAAATTTGGAAACGATGTTAATCTCCTCTTACCACTTACTCCGTCAATATTGTAATTGACGATCAGGTCCTCCGCGAAAATATATTTTAATGACTTTGTAAGGGCTCCGCGCTTCAATAAGTTCGTCACTGCGGTGGTCTGCAAAAATTAATAGGTATTAAAATTTTTTTATATTTAATTTATAAATATTATACTTACACATTCTTCCTTCATGCCGCGGCCTAAGACGAATTCCAACGCTGCCAATGCCTCGTCGGTGGCAATCGGGAATTCCATGTTGACAGCATTGCTGGAGGCCTTTCCTTAACAAAGAAATAACGTTAACTCCCTTAACGTTTAATAAATATATGTACATATACATATATGTATACAGTTTCTCAAGTAATTGTTTGCTAAATACAAATGGCACAAAAATTTAATTTAAATTATTTTTTAATTAATTTAATTTAATTCAAAATTAAAAATTTTTATTTTGCAAACAATTACTTGACATACTGTATATAAATATTTAACACATTTCCGAGCGGCTAATGCCGTTTAATAAATATATGTACATATGTACATACATATATTGAACGGCCGCTCGGTATTTAATAAATAAGTTAATTATATGCACTACTCACCAGAATTAGTTAGTATCACTAGGTCACTTATGTAAATGTTTTTGAAAATTTAACTTTAAACGCAACAAACGCGTGTAATTCCGATGCAAATTGAACAGCAAATGCAAAGGAGAAGGGGAGAGGCAAGACGAAACCGAAAATTGACAACCGAAAATTCTGGCGCGTGCCAGGGTATAGTCGACCAAAGCAATGCCTTGTAATTAGAATCGCACAAGGCTAATAATCAAACATGAACATATTGGCTTTGCCTAACACAAATAATTAATACATTTCAATATACCATATGATTAGAAAGAAAAATGTATTAAATATAATCTTAAATATATAAAAATATTTCAACATATTTTAAAAGGGTATTCTGACGTCGCTTCCATTCATTTGGTTTTCGGCACAGATTTTTTTCTCTCCCTTCCCTCCATCTACATCTCTCTAATTGTCTCTCTGTGCGTGCCTCTGCTCCGAAACTATGACGTAGAAGCCTCGAGAATCATCGTCGAAAACCAAAAGCAGGTAGAAGTTTCGTTTCCCTTTCGTTTCGGACTTGAGTAAACGAAGCCCATGCAATTTGTTTTTGTTTTTCGACAATGTCGCCAGGAATCGTCGGGGTAAGGAATTTTGGTACTGAAGGGAATGAACCGTTACGATCGCAGAATTAGGTCACCACCTCGCTTACACATAGAACCGTTAGTTCCCACCCACTACCCATCGCTCGCTACCTGGGCTTATCTGCAGAAGCCGTAAATGTTACAGAGACTGAAAAGTGGTGATAGGCCGTCGATGCCGTTTGTTAGTTATCAATTGCCTGGAAAATGGAAGTGCATGTGCATGTGTGTGTGTGTGGTTGTTCAGTGGTTGTTCTTGTTGCCCTAATGTGCAACGCAGCATAGCGGGTTCATTAACACCACCGGGTACATACAATTTGTGCACACTTCCTGGCTCGGATCGGGTGCTCGCACCTTTATTTTGGTGTTTCGGAGCCGCTCTCTTCTGATACGATAGTTGAATGGTTAATTATTTGTCAACCGTGTGTGTATTCTATTTTATAACTGTATATGTGTACACTTTCGTTTGGCTTCGCGATCGGGCCACAGTGGCGGTCAAGCCAATAGCAGCGACTGAGATTTTAAAATAAAAAATTAAATTAAAATAATTTGCTAATGAGCAATTTTAATTAAATTGTAAATAACGTATGATATCAAATAATTTACTTTCCACTCTCGCTCCTATTCGTGTGGCCTCCACTGTGCGCGTAAAGGTACGCCAGCAATGGTAGATGTACCTCCGAATATCTAGTTACATAGAAATTTACATACATAGCACACATACATACATACACACTCGCAAGTAGGCGGGCCAGCGCTCCAGCCGCCTACAAACAAACGGTTCAGCTTGCCGTTCGCCTCGAGTCTTGTCGCAACTTGTTTGGCAAATCTTGTAAGTCTAGTTCTTGTCGCTCCGCCGCCGCCGCCGAGGTTTCTATGCTCTTCGTATCTGGCAGGCCGTCTCTAAACAATAACTATTTCCATTCCAGCGTTACCTGAATCGAATACACACACCGACAGCCACCATGTTGAAGTTCATACGAGGCAAGGGCCAGCAGCCCACCGCGGAGCGGCAGCGCCTGCAGAAGGATCTATTTGCATACCGCAAGGTAAGTGCTATCGGTGCTGGTCGGATGTGCTATCTCTCGCGGCCCCGGGCCGGTTTAAGTCAAAGAAACCACTATCGGCCCCACCCAGTTGGCCATCGGTTGGGCCTCTCACACTCACACACCGATTTCGGGACTGGGAGATAGGGGCTGGATCTCAAGTGGATCGGGTCACACTCATGTGCTAGGAATGCCGCAATACAGGGTGCTTTTTGCACAAAATAGCGCAACGATGTGCCAATTGACATATTCAATTACGGGGTCGAAACCAGACCTCCGTCTATCTGATATGGGAGGTGGATGGGGTGCAGCAGTTGCAGTTAAAGTGCTGCCGGAAGCGACCTCTGCCAACTGGGTCAAGAAAACCTTAAGTCTGGAATTTCTGCCCGCCAAGCATTTCACTTTTGTTTCGGACCAGCCCTCGCAGCGAAAGAAATGAACTCGCGTCATCACTGGCGGGGCCTCCATAAACCCAATGACATCATCCAGAGGCAGCTTTATGTTGACCATGTCATGACATTGAAAAGGTGGAATCTAGCTAACGGGGAGTTCTGTAAAGCAGATTCGATTCACCTGCGGAACCTGGCCAATAATTAGTCATCGATAGAACTTTATGGGTATATGGTGACTGTAGCCGAAAGTAATAATTCTGTACACATAGCCTAACATGACCAGATAGCCGGAGTCGGTGCCGCGGCTCGAAGGGAGTGCTGTAGTCGATAAGATTAACTTTGTTTGCGTTATGGGCTTGGGGAATGGTATGGGTTTCGCTGGAGAAACCACTCACCCGGACCGGAATATGTGCCGAGGCTATTGTTTAGGGAGATAGGTACAGTGTTTCCACTGATAAGATTTTAAAGAACCGAACCGAAGGAACGCTGCACCTGAAACTGGGTCAGCAAGGGCTGTGGATTCCGTACCAAGGACTTGGAGAAGCTGTTGCCCAACACGGCCTGAGCCATTCCGTTCTCGGACCACTTTAATAACCGACTAATTAAGTTGGTAGTGATGGTATCTGGCAGTCGCCATTACTGGTTTTATGGGAAAATCCAGTTACAGAGCCGCACAAAGCCGAAAACTGGAAACAAAGCCCGAATCTGTTGGGCCCGTGCCGCCGTGCTGCACTGAGATGCTTGGATGGTTTTCGTGCGGCTTTCCTGTTAGAACCACAGCGGCAATATGGGTCAAGTAGCGCAGCTCTTCACGGTCCACGAGTGAAGAAATCATAATGATGATTTCGGCCGGGTATCGGCCTTAGTCTTGCTCTGAGTGTGGCTGTGGATCTCTTGCCGGAGGGAGGCTTTCTTGGCCCACAAGCGTACGGCTAGCCAACCTTTGAAATTCCCCAGAAAAGCCATTATGCAAATGGTTCTCTCTTTCGAGTCAAGTGGCTCTGGAGCTTCCCGCTGGGCCTTTGTGGACTAGTTCGAATGGGTTTTGCAACACAAAAGGTTGGCTCCGGTCCGCCGCGAGAGATGGCGAAGCCTTCAGTGGCCAAGAACAGAGTAACCGCTAGACCTAAGAACCTCGTTCGTCTTTGGATTTAATCTGAGCTCCTCTTTGTCCTCCAGACCGCGCAACATGGATTCCCCCACAAGCCCTCGGCGCTGGCCTACGATCCGGTGTCGAAGCTCATGGCGATCGGCACCCAGACGGGCGCCATCAAGGTCTTCGGCCAGCCCGGCGTGGAGCTGTACGCCCAGCACACCCTGGTCAACAATTCGGCAGCGGAGCTGAACGTCCAGCTCCTGGAGTGGGTCTACGGCACGGGCCGCATTCTCTCGCTGACAGCCGCCAACCAGCTCATCCTGTGGGAGCCCGTGGGCAGTACCCTGGTGGCCATCAAGTCACTGCCCTTCGACGGCAAACTCAAGAAGGTCTCTTCCCTGTGCTGCTCCCTGAACAAGGATGTGCTGTGGATCGGAACGGAGGGCGGCAACATCTACCAACTGGACCTGCACTCCTTCACCATACGGGAGCCGGTCATCTACCACGACGTGGTGCTGGAGCAGGTCCCGCCCGCCTACAAACTGAACCCGGGCGCGATCGAGTCCATCCGCCAGCTGCCCAACGCCCTCAACAAGCTGCTCATCGCCTACAATCGGGGACTGTGCGTGCTGTGGGACCTGGACACGTCTTCCGTGGAGCGCGCCTACATAGCGCCCGGACACGGACAGAGCGTGGGACTCTCGGTGCACACTGATGGCTCCGAGTTCAGCTGGTACCACGCGGACGGCTCCTACGCCACCTGGAACATAGGCAGCGCCGATCCCCCCAAGAACGTCAACTACGTGCCCTACGGCCCGGACCCGTGCAAGAGCATCAATCGCCTCTTCAAAGGCAAGAGGGGGTAAGTGATTCCCGTTCTTCCAGACGAACGTCCTCTAATGTGCGGCTTTAGTTCCAGCGATGTGATTGTGTTCTCCGGAGGGATGCCCCGCTCCGCCTACGGGGACCACAACTGCGTGTCCGTGCACGTCAGCGATGGGGAGAAGGTGTGCCTCGACTTCACCTCCAAGGTGATTGACTTCTTCGTCACCTACAAGGAGGACAGCGACGTGGCCCAGGTGCTGATTGTGCTGCTGGAGGAGGAGCTGTGTGCCTACGACCTCACGGACTCCAACATACCCGCCATCAAGGCGCCCTACCTCCACTCGGTGCACGCGTCGGCCGTCACCTGCAACTACCTCGCCTCCCAGGTAAACCAGGCCGTGTACGAGCGCATACTGCGCGCCGGGGACGAGCAGGACATCGACTACAGCAGCATTGACTGGCCCATCACCGGCGGTGTGCTGCCCGAAGACGAGGCCGCCGCCGCCTCGGACGAGGAGGAGGCCGCAAAGGAGTACGAGATTCTGCTGACCGGCCACGAGGACGGCTCCGTCAAATTCTGGGACTGCACTGGTGTGCTGCTGAAGCCGATCTACAACTTCAAGACGGCGGGCATTTTCGGAAACGAACACGACTTCCGGGACGAGACGGCTGCTGACAATGCGGACCCGCTGGACGAGGGGGAGCCTCCCTTCCGGAAGGCCGGTCTCTTCGATCCCTACTCCGACGATCCCCGGCTGGCCGTCAAGAAGATAGCCCTGTGCCCCAAGACGGGTCAGCTCATTGTTGGCGGCACAGCTGGACAGATCGTGATCGCGGACTTTGACGACGCCGCCGAGGAGAGCGGCCCCCTGAAGTACAGCTCCATGAACTTGGTCAGCGACCGCGACGGGTTCGTGTGGAAGGGACACGATCAGCTGAATGTGCGGGCAAACCTGCTGGAGGCCAGCGCTGCCCCCTTGGCTGAGAACGGCGTGAACATCACGGGGGTGCTGCAGGTCCTGCCGCCGGCTAGCATCACATGCATGGCTCTCGAGGCCAACTGGGGCCTGGTGTCCGGAGGAACTGCCCACGGACTGGTGCTCTTCGACTTCAAGAACTTTGTGCCGGTCTTCCATCGGTGCACCCTGAACCCGAACGATCTCACCGGGGCCGGCGAGCAGCTGTCCCGCCGCAAGTCGTTTAAGAAGTCGCTGCGCGAGTCCTTCCGGAAGCTACGCAAGGGCCGCTCGACCCGGAACAACCCCACCAACCAGGTTCCGACAACGGTGAGTTCAGGTGTTCTTAGTCCCAGTAGTTTCTCCAATGCTAATGAATCCTTTCCAGCTGGAGGCACGACCTGTGGAGCGGCAAATCGAGGCCCGCAATGCCGACGACGGGCTGGGATCGATGGTGCGCTGCTTGCTGTTCGCGAAAACCTACGTGACGAACGGTGAGGTTGCCGATTCCACATCCTGCTGAGTCCATACTAATATCTGTCCTTCCAGTCAACATAACATCACCCACCCTGTGGTCGGCCACGAACTCGAGCACCGTCTCGGTGTTCCTCCTGCACTTGCCCCCGGCGCAGACCGCCGCCACCGCGATACCCCCGATAAGTGGCAACGCTGCGCCCCAAACCCCACGTCGTATTTCCGCGCAGCTCGCCAAGGAAATTCAGCTCAAGCACCGAGCCCCCGTCGTGGGCATATCCATTTTCGATCAGACTGGCTGCCCGGTGGATCAGCTGAACGCCGGCGAGAACGGAACACCACCCCACCGCCTGCTCATCGCCTCCGAGGAGCAGTTCAAGGTGTTCTCCCTTCCGCAGCTGAAGCCGATCAACAAGTACAAGCTGACCGCCAACGAGGGCGCCCGCATCCGGCGCATCCACTTCGGATCGTTCAGCTGCCGCATTTCGCCGGAGCTCCTGCAGAGCCTCCACGCCGGAAGTCCCACCAAGTCCACGCGCTCCCACGGCGAGGCCGACGGAGCGGCCAATACCAGCGCCACCTCGGGTGGACGCGGGGATCTGTACCACGAGATGGCCCTGATTTGCCTCACCAACATGGGAGACATCATGGTGCTGTCAGTGCCGGAGCTGAAGAGGCAGCTGAACGCCGCGGCAGTGCGACGGGAGGACATCAAGTAAGCATGATGAGGATGATTATGTTTCAGTTCTTAACTATCTCGATCCGCAGCGGAATTTCGTCCCTTTGCTTCACCAACGCTGGCGAGGCCCTGTACATGATGTCTTCCTCGGAACTGCAGCGCATCGCCCTGGCCACCTCCAAAGTGGTGCAGCCCACAGGCGTAGTGGAAGTGGAGCCGCTGGAGAGCGAAGAGACCTCGCTGCCGGCCAACGACGAGGACGAAAGCGACAAGGAGACGGACCTCCAGAAGGAAGTGAACGAAGCTATCAAGGAGCCGCCTGTGGCCACCCAGCGCGTCAAGCCCGTGGAAGTGAGTGTGGACCGAAGCAGTCTGCACCTGGCCAATGGCATCAGCAGCAGCAACTCACCCAACCGTGCCAACGAGACCATCACCAGTTCTATCGGTGACATCACCGTCGATTCGGTGCGTGACCATCTGAACACCACCACGACCACCTTGTGTTCCACGACTACAGAGGAGACTGTGGGTGAGTGAACCGCACCTTTTATTATCCGAGAGCTTAGTGTCTTGCTCGAGTCTGTTGTCTTGCATCTTATACTACATATATGCATCTTATACATATCTTATACACATCTTATGCGCCATTCTTATACCCTACATTAGTTATAAGAGCCATGCCACTATAACCTATGCACTATGCACTTAGTCTTAAGTTTCTGGTCTGGAAACCTGACTACTGACACACTTCACTTCACCCATTCTCTGGTTTTCTGTTTCTTTATTATTTCATCTGTAACTAAGTTAGTTGGAATGCTTATCTACTAGTCTACTGCTTATCCTCTGCTTCTACTAGTCTTGCATACATACTCTTCACATATATTGACCTTTGGTTGACTTGCATCTATATCTTGCTTCTAAAATATCTATGAGTTTGCTATTCCTCTTACCTCTTATACTCGCCCACTAGTCTACACTCTGCATTGGTCCTTTGTCTTAATCACCTACTCTACACCTAATACATGCTATTTGCTTAAGAAGTATCTGCTATTTGTATCTCTTGTATTGTTTCTCATCCTCTACATGACCATACTCACCTCTGCACACTATCCATACTCTACACTACCTTCTCACTGTCTATAGTCGTTTCATCTTTGAGTAATCCCGTCTGAAGTATTTGTCGCTGTGCTGCTCCTCCTCTAACCCCGATGACTTGAGTGCTTATCCTTCTACTTGACTCTCGTTTCTAGATTCGCGCCACTAGTCGCCCCTGCACGCCATACACACACCCTATTTTAGTTAGTAGAAGGGCAGTCGCATCCAAGGCTCGTCCACCCCGTTAACGGGACAGCATGCATGCCTCGCCTCGTATTCCTAGAACTTGTATTGCCTCCAATATCCACTATCCACTATCCGATAGCCCCTATTCTTGTATTAACTCTCTGGTGTCAAACCCCCATCCATGTTGTAGGTCGATAATCTGTGCTTAGCACGCAAACCAACCAGCAGACCACCACCGTCAATGTCAACGACATTCCGAACATCAACATCCCCAACCTGATGGACTTGGCCTCGAAAAGGTTCGTATCCTGCTGAGCAGCGAAGGAATCCCTCTAACCTGAGAGGTCTCTACCACTTACCTTCTCCCATCACCACAGCAACACCACCGAGACGAGCACCAGCTCCGTGGTGATCAAGTCGGTCATCACGAGCATATCCCACGATAAGACGAACGGCGAGAGCGAGGCCCGGACGACCAAGACCACGACGCACGAGGAGAGCCAGTTCTAGACGGGCCAGGTCGGTCCAACACCCAGCATACCAGATGCTCACCAGGAATTTACGGATGAAGGCCAACTCGGCCACCCACTCGACAAGTTTCGCACAATTTGATTCGCATTGACGGAGAGGAAGCCCATTTCACAACCATATCGCACAGTCAGTGCCCCACCATGCTTACGTCTTTGGCGTATCTAGGGGGGACACTCTTGTGTCGGCCACACAACACCACTTTCTTCTGAAGAAACTGAAACTTGATGTGCTCCACTGTGGCCGCAACTGTATTTTAGTTTGTAGATCGACCCCCTGACACTTTTAAGAGACGCGACCGCGGAGGTCAACCAACGGTCCACGAACAGCAACTATTGCATTTTATTCGAAACAACAATCTATATTTAATATCATTGCACGTTATTTTTGTAATCCATGTTTTTGTAAGCCCATATTGTACTTTTACAACCGACGCCGTTTAAATATGATAGTGAAATTTAGCATACCTGTAGTGATTTGATGTTGACCAGGAGTGACCAGCTCCCAGGAGTATTTCCACGCCTACTTATAGACACCGCCCTGTTCCGAGACCCACCAGGTCCACAATTGAACACACATTCCCGGGCCTGGGAGGCGATCAGGGCCGATCAAGTACAATACGAAACAAGTATGCCTTATAAAAATAATATATTTACAGATTTTGAAAAGTATTAAAACCAATATTTACAACATCCCTGCCTCAGCGCCCTTGTTTACTTTCAGGATATAGTATCTCTTGTATGTCTAGGATCTGTCTATCTATAGGATATGTCTATCTCTAGGATCTACTATCTCGGTAGTATGTCGTCTGGAAGTTGGTCTGAGAGATACCTTCTTGGAAGGTACTCCCTAGGAATATTTTGAGGCATTGCTTGGTCTTAAATTCGCTTTCCAAAGTTGCCACAATGGAATTCTCTTCAAGTTTTTAATTTGTGCAACGTTTTGGGCAAAATGTCGGGTCGGAGACAGGGCGCCTTTGATATGTTTCAAGTAATTTGTGCGCATTTGCGAATTTTTATCGCGGCCACAAAGTTTGTCTATTGAGCGACCTGTAATAATGACTTTATGGCTGTATTTACGCGCAATAAAAGGAGAATGTCCTCCGCTTTCGAGGAGCGTTTTAAAATTTCCCGGTCGAACCCCACGATGGGCCACTACTTTCGAATAAAAATGCGAGTTCAGGTTAATTTATTCGCCCGCCCCCTGCCTTCTGCGGCGTCTTCATTTCCATTATGTGCCCAAAAGGGAGCGGATCCCTGCATCTGTAGTAGGCTGAATCCGAAATGCCCTCGAATATGCTAAATCCCAGCCAGCAGCAGGTTCCTTGACGAGAGCCCAGAGCTGTCCTTTTCAAAGCGTGGGGCGTGCCTCTTGAAGGATGTTAACATGCATGCTCCTGGCTGACGCCTGTCTTGCCTAGACCCAGGCCCTCCTCGCATTTGCATTTCAATGATTAAAGTGTTAAAATTCCTGCCGACACATGCAGACTTCCGAGGTGCCTGGCCAGGACTCGCCCCTCCCCAGCCCCAGCCGGATAGCGTCTAATGGCTTTATAAAAGCCGAATAGCCCGGCCGGAATGCGATTTTAATATTCCCATGGACCGACACATGGTGCGAAATGCTTGTAAACATTGACTCTTAAGGACATGCGGTGTGGCTGGAAGTATTTGGACTTTCCCAACAGCGTTTAGGAGGAGTATGCCTTTTTAGAGTCCTTCTCAGGAGGTGGTTTCATTTTATATCTTGTAGGAGATGGTCTCTTAAGGACAAGTGGAGTATCTGGAGTTATTGTAGTTTTATGGAAGTAAATGGAAGCGGTTTGTTTCATATGTGGGGTTTTTATCTTGAAAATGGAGGGGAGAGTCCTTCCGTGGCTTACTTGGGGAAGATTGTCTTTGAAGGAAATGTGAATTACCTGCAAATATTTACAATGAGTGAATGGAAGAATAACACTGGTTCTCGGAACTTTTTACAAGTGGGTTCTATATCTATATATATCTCATCGAGTGGGAACAGTCTTCATCAATAGCATACTTTTAGGACCTGGCAGGGAAATGGTTTCTATTATTTCCATCAGCTTAAAAGCAGGCAACCCCAAACTCCGCTCGAAAACTTAGTTATTGATGAGGTCCAGCGATGTCCTCCGAGTTGGACATCAAATGGAAGCGTGCTCTGGAATCACGCACTGATCCGAGAGTGACACCAGGACAAAGGAAGCCTGACACTCGTCAGAGATTGCCTTTAACAAATTAGCATGTTTCGGCTTTAGTTTGGACAGTCGCAGGTAACCAGATTAATCATCTCCAATTACTGCTCCACTTGTGGAACAAAGGGCCCTGCTCCTCTAATTGAAAGTGCGTGAGTGCGGATGGCGTGATGTCCAAACTCTCTAAAAACTAGCCGGCCCACGCCCACGCCCCTCACCCACCAGAGCTACAAAGCTACAACCTGCACACGTCACTCGACGACACTTACAGGCGTGACAGCAGTGGCGGACATTTCACGGATTTTCCGGGATTATCCGGCCGAGTGCCGGACGCAGGTTGCGGGAGGGGGGCTGGCGCGTCAGCCACAGTGCGTGAAGTGCATTTAAAATTTGCATTTTAGCCTCAAATTACGGGGCTGCAGCGTGCGTCGAGTGGCGCAACAATGCGTGGCAGTATTTACTGTTTTGGGCTCCGAAACCGCAGCCGCGGTCTCCTTAATGACACGGGAATTTGTCAAGAGCATTCAGAGTCAACTCGGTCGGGTTTATGGTTGTGTTTTTGAAGAGGACTCGCCTAGTAACTCTGGGCTTTAAGCCTCGACGCACTGCATCATCACTTGTTTGAAATATTCGCTTCGCAGATCCTTAATATTGAATGTCCTGGCACTGTGGAAGCTGTTTTCGCAGATAAACACTGCACACGCACATGAGGGCTTAGTACCCAGACACCCAGAGCTCCCCGGCAATTGATATTCACGGAGAGTCCCAACTACACATGTAAGTCATCGCTCAAGACGCCCGCCTCCGACTCCTGGCTCCTCTCCCAGTGTTTTTCCACAATCCTTTTGTTTGCCCGGGCTTGTCAAAATGCGGAAATATGAGGGGTGGGGGGTGGTGCTGGAAACAGCTCGAAAACAAACACAAGCTGCCGGGTTAGTTTACCGATGCGGCTTTTACGGGCTTAACATATTAATTAAACTTGGAGTGGAAACAGAAACACGAGCCCCACAGGGTCAACTTTAAATTAAGTTTTAATCTGTTGCTCATATTTAAACAGCCACCCAGCCAGCCAGCCAGCAGCTTTGTCCTCCAGTTTCTGGGGGTACCTGGCCGGGGAAGGCAGTTCGAGAGCGGGATTTGCTTCCGTGCAAGGACCACTTGTGGGAGATGCGTTTTGTGGCCAAATAATCAGTCAGTCATGCTTCACAACTGGCTCTTTAAGATGTAACTGAGCCACCATGCAGGGTGTATCTCCCTGGTCCTTAAGTGGATGGGTTCGATGGATACTTTAATTGAAACTGGCCTCTTGTCCTCTTCCTGGGAGCGGGACATGTGCCTCTTGGCTAAATGGGAAGTTAGGGGAGTCCCCCCCTCGGATCGAAGTAGTAACTCACCTCCGGAGTAATCCGTCCACCGGTGTGCGTACGAGGGATGTGGCAAGGCCGCTCCCCTGCCAGATTGACAGCTTAATAAATTAAAATGCATTAAGTGGCTGGCGTAGATTTGCGGCAGCCATAAATCTTTCACCCCACTCACCCGCCCAGCGACACGGAAACAGGAGCAGCTACCAGGGGGGGGCGCTGGCTGCTGGCTTCAGGCTTAAATATTATATTGTAATTCAAATATTTATGGCCATCAGCGCAAATAAAAGTGTCTACTAAACCCGACCCGGCAGCTAGATCCGGCGGTGTCAGTGATGTATGTGGCCCAGGTGAGCGCTGCCACCTGTCACTGGCTGGGCCTTTGACTGAGGCTCCAGCTCCCCCACCCCCTTGTACGGCCGTAAGCTCGCAAGGCAACAAATTCTCACGCACCGAGCCATTGACACGGGCTGCTAAGCTGTTGAAGGCGGCCTGGGAACTCCAGCCTTTGCTCTGCAGTTGCCAAAAAGTGCCTGAAGGTCGCCAACCCCTGGATGGAGGTTGGAGGATGGGGGCTGGGGTGTGGAGACCCGACGTCTCGTCACCAGCCTCTCCCAGATTGCGTCGAAAATCAAAAACATGCAAAGTGCGTTACTCGCGAGGCGGGGGTGTATTTTTCAAGGAAAGCGAAAGCCGTCATGGCCCGGATAGTGGGTGGAATGGGTCCTGACTCGGGTTCTTTAGGAAGAATACTCCCGCGACTTCTGCACTGAACAAAAGTATATGTTAGTCAGAGTTCTTTCGAATGCAAATCCGGCTTAAAGACTTGCCTGAGTACGCTGCAGGATATTACCATTCTCATGGTCTCCCTCCACTAGCTTTCCTCGGTGTAGAAAGGATACATCACTAGAATTGGCCAGGAAAGCCAGAAAGTGGCCGGGGCAGTCGTAATAATCGACAAATCATAATAATCTCGGGTACTCCCGCTCGGTGGCAGCCATAAAAATCGCCTCTGAATGTAGGTACACTTTGTGTTGCCTACTTTTCAGCGTCCGGAATACGGAATGCGGACCACGGAGTCCGGACCAGTGACTCTTGCGGTCCGGCGTGAGGAAGAGTGTGTGCGGGCTCGCCTCAATAAATTGTCTGTTATCATTTTCATGTTTTCCCACTGACATCGGTCGCTGCTTGGGGGTGTCGGGGTCTGGAGGTCTGGAGGTCGTCCGGGTCGACGGGGCGTATAAGCAACGTCAACTTTGAATCGGAAAAGCGGCTTCGGTAGGCGTGGGGGATCCTCCGTGGGACCGTGCTGAGCCTAATTTCCCGGAAATAAATGTGCAGCGATGTGTGCGGACTTAGGAAGCCAAGGCGAGGCAGCCCGCGTCTAGCTGGGCATCCTGGACTTTCTCCCACGGCCTCCTCGGGACGGAGTGCCTGTTGTTATTGATGCGCCAGGAAATTCGAAACTTGTCAGCAGTTGCCGGAAAAGGGATGAATCAGGGCCGGGGCGAAGTGCTCGCGGCAAATCGAATTCCGTTCGATTGCATCCAAGGCGGAGGAGGAATCTATTGGACTGGGAACTTCCAGACTGAAAGTTAAAGTCAGTTGGAACTGCGATTAAATGATGGATCTGGACAGCCGCCACTGAACACGTCTGGGTTGATTAGCGGCAGCCGGGAGAGTGCAGCTGAATTATAAATTATCAGGACTAGGTCTTGGGAACAACTTCCGCTTCCTGATACAGAGCTCCTGTGGGAGTCGAGTGCTTCCGCACCATTCCATTCCACCTGCTGCTTTCAATTAATACCTCGCCCTCTAAAATCAATAAATCAGAACCCTTGAATCCTTGAAACGTCCTGCCGAAGCAGCAGGACCTGGGCCGAGTTGTTAAGCTCTACGTGGGATTTCCTGCGAGTTCGGGTCCGTGATTGCTGGAGAATATTAAAGCTCTGCTGGTCGGGTCTCGGCCGGGCCCGAGTCCTTAAAGGCTCCGGAAAGCAGCTGTCCTTGGGAGGGGGCTGCAATAAGTTTAATGGCTGTTATTGTTGCTGAAAGTTCCGCGACATCGATAGTTCCGCCGGGGAGCTCAGCCCTTTGGCAGTGCGTGTGCAGGGAATCCGGGATA